TAGTGCCTCTATTGACTTATAATTCTGTTTCACTGATGCAAGACCAAAGCATGCCCTTTCTGTCTTGTATTTTGGCTAAATCAGAACTTTAGAGTGAAAACCTTTTGCACATCTTTCAACATCTTGCCACCAGGTGGCAGGCGCGTGCCACAGTCCTTTTGTCCCAAGCACAAAGCGTGAGCATTTTACCAGAGATTGAATTAAGATAGTAGCTTTCTAAACTGGAGGCCAGAGTCTTTGAGTTTTTGAAATAGCGAACACTTAGTCTTGTGCAAAGCAACAGTTTCAGGGTTAGCAGGGACCATATCTAGAAATGAATGTTCAGGCACCCCGATTTATGTAGTTCAGAATTTTGAGGGCGCCAGAGCCCAGCTCCTCTCTCTTTATCTGGGGATGAATCAGTACTGTAAGTGCTGCTGGGACACCCATCTCCCCAGCAGCACCTGCAGTACTTAGTGCCCCATGAAGAGAATCATGTGTTGATGGATTTTACCCTGTTCTTTTTGTTCTTTCCTCTCTCCTTCCAGGAAGGAGATAAGGGCTGCATTCAGGCAAAGTTGGGACAACTTCCTAAATTATGTTTTAAACTATTTGCCTAATTATAATAAAATTTTCCTTAAACACACACTCAGAAATAGACATTCCATCTCCCCTGGTACCCATCCGTGATTAATTTTATGTATCAACCAGACTGGGCCATGGAGCACCTAGAAATTTTTGGTCAAACATTACTCTGGGTGTTTCTGTGAAATTGTTTTTGGGTGAGATTAACATTTAAATCTGAGTAGAGCAAATTGCCCTCCCTAATGTAGCGGGCCTCTTCCAATCCGTTGAAGCCTTGAATAGAACAAAAAGGCTTATCCTCTCCTGAATAAGAGAGAATGCTTTTTTGCCTAACTGCCTTTAACTGGGACGTTGGCTTTCTTCCTGCCTTTGGACTTGAACTGAAATGTTGGCTCTTCCTGGGTCTCTAGCCTGCCAGACTTTAGACTGGATGTGCACCAGACTCTCCTGCGCCTGCTGCTTGGAAACTCATCCCGCAGACCTTGGGACTTGTCAGCCTTCATCCTCATGTCAGCCAAGTCCTTATACTAAATCTCTTTACATACAGGGCATCCCAAAAAATGTAGTATATATACTTTCACAGCTGATAGCTCAATTTTGAAAATGAAATGTATGTTAATAAACACTGCCGTTATAATTACTCAAAATGTATATATACTTTTTTGGGGGCACCTTATATAAATATAAACACATAAATACAATGAGTGGCCAGATTATTATGATCTCTGAATGCATAATAATCTGGCTATTCAGTGTGTATATGTGTATGTGTGTGTATATATATGTGTATGTATGTATGTACATATATATATGTATATATGTATATATGTATATATGTGTGTATATGTGTATGTATATGTATATTAGAGGCCCGGTACATGAATTCATGCATGGGTGGGGTTGGGCCAGCCTGGCCGAGGGAGGTGACATGGGCGGTTGGCTGGCCTGTCTGCTGGTCGAACTCCTGGTTGAGGGGACAATTTGAATATTAGTCTTTTATTATATAGGACATACACTGAGTGGCCAGATTATTATGCATTCAGAGATTATAATAATCTGGCTACTCAGTGTATGCATGTGTGTATCTATATATCTCCTGTTGGTTCTGTTCTGACAAATGCACCTCCTAACTGGATATTCATCACTTGGTTGTGGACATAATACACTGAGCAGCTACTTTGTGCCAGGCCCTGTACTAGGCTTCGGGAATAGGGAAATGAACAAATTGGATGTTTCCTATCTCAGGGAGCTTCCAATCTATTGAGGGGGATAAACAAATCAAATACAAAGTCTAAAAACAAAGCTACAACAAGTGCCATTGAGGCTGGGGTGGCTGTTGGAGTCTAGGAGGAGTAGGGAGGAGATACTGGAGTTGCACTATAGCCAGAAGCCACACATTTAAATTTAAATTAATTGAAAATTAAATACAAATGTTAAACTTCAGTCCAGTGGCTAGCTGTATTTCACCTGCACAGTTTCCACATGTGCCCCCCCCCCCACCTCCCCCACAGTGGAGGAACTCTTGATAATTCTTTTGACTTTATTGACAGCTGGATCTGGCCTGTGTGAATTTTAGGTCAGCGTCCTGAGGTGGGAATATAATTGGCTTAACATGTCTTCTTTGAGCAAGGCCACACCAAGGCATGGGCTCCTAGTCTGTAGGAGAGGCCCCATTGGAGGTTGGGGTCCACCCTTATGTGTGCCACTTGGTACAGAGCCTGACTATGCCTGTTCAACAGGGACCTGCGGTAGAAGGTGTGAGTGAGCCAGGTATCCTGGTACACAACTTGTCCAATGTCTACTACTTTGACTTTGTTCCTAATTTTTCCTCACCCCCAACCCCATCATCAGTAGCACTGGAATTAATTCAGCCTTCTTTATTTTCTTATCTGTAATTAACTCTTTACTTCATCACCTAGTATAGTACCTAGCACATAGCACATATTCAACAAATATTTGTTTCAATGTCCACCAGCCAGATACCTCCAGGAGCATACCTACAGTTAAACAAATGGAGGTTTATTTAGCTTGCTCCAATAAGAGATAATCGTGGTGTCTTGTTAAGAGAGTGTCGGAGGGGGTTATTAAAGGATTTGGGCTTTGACGGGGTGATTGTAAGGAAGGACTAGAGAAACAGGAACTAGTTTTGTATTAGATACACTTAGGGAGTAGGAGTAATTCAGCAGCTTGCTATCTCAGAAATCCTGTTCAGGAATTAGAACAAAATGAGGCTGAGGGTGTCTTTGGTATGAAAACAACAATCACTCAGAAAAAAAATTTTTTTTTTTGGTGGGGGGTATAGTATGGCTTTCCCCTTGTTTGGATACAAACTATCACAATCTAACTGACAACAGGATTGATTTCCAATTTTTCAGTTAAATTTGAAAAAAAAATCGCTGAATAAATATTTTAAAAAATATATATTTTATTGATTTTATACAGAGAGGAAGGGAGAGAGATAGTTAGAAACATTGATGAGAGAGAGTCATCGATCAGCTGCCTCCTGCACACCCCCCACTGGGGATATGCCCGCAACCAAGAAACATGCCCTCGACCAGAATCGAACCCAGGACCTTTCAGTCTCCAAGCCGAGGCTCTATCCATTGAGCCAAACCGGTCCCGGCTGAATAAATATTTAATATTACTCAAATGTAGAAGCAATTGCAATGGTTTTTAAACCTGCCAAAGTGACCTTTTATCTGTCTTTTGGGCAATTGCTTTTTACTGACTTTAAACAAATTTGGCCCTTAGTTTAATTATATTACATAGATTCATCTGAGGCTCGATCTACCATTCTGGAAAGTGATATCTGTTTTTTAGAATTGGTATTTTAATTTTGATTGCCCATTCAAGGATACTCTGGGGTTGGACAGTATTCCTCTTAAAATGTGGTCCTGATTTCATCTACATGGAACTAAGAACAATGAGTCAATTACTTCCTGAGCTTGCATCACCACTTTCCTGTGACTCATCTTTTCCTCCAGGAGTCCCTTACCCCATTGTTCACATGAACTGTTGTTAAGCAAGTGTACCCCTGGCCTGGCATGCATGCAATTGATTTTAGAATCTGAATAAAAATCTCATTTATCCTTCCAACATCTTACTCATTTTTACCCAACATTCTAGAAGGTTGGAAACAAATACCTATCATATTTGCCATTGCTCTGACTTTTTGTCATTTGCAACTTGGTTAGTGTCTCTTCTCTGCACTTCACTCATAACAATGACCAAAAATTGAACAGGATACCTGGAAGGACAGAATTTTTCCAGCCTCAGCTAGTTACCAGCAACACTCTTTTGATATGGTTGTTGGTCTCGTTTCAGAATGCTTAACCAGCCCACATTTCACCCCGTATGTGCACGAGTAGAAGGAGAGTTTTTTGTTTTTTTAAAATATATTTTATTGATTTTTTACAGAGAGGAAGGGAGAGAGATAGAGTTAGAAACATCGATGAGAGAGAGTCATCGATCAGCTGCCTCTTGCACACCCCCTACTGGGGATATGCCCGCAACCAAGGTACATGCCCTTGACTGGAATCGAACCCGGGACCCGTTAGTCCCCAAGCCGATGCTCTATCCATTGAGCCAAACTGGTTTCGGCTAGAAGGGGAGCTTTTGGCAACTGTGCATTTGGGAAAGTTACTGCAGCACAGAGAGGCTCTCAGAGGGTGGGGTGTTGGGAGGAGAGGAGTGGGAGCAGGGAGACCAATAGGGCTAGAAAGAAGTAATCCCAACTTGAGGTCATCAGTTCTTAAACTAGGGTGGGGTGCCTTTGGAAATGGACAGGGAGGTGTTGTTGCTACAAACATTATGAAAGGAAAAGTCAGCAGGTCTCTATAACAAATGAGTAGGGAAGAAATGGAGAAAAGAGGAATTTAGAGCCTGAGTGCTTAGATGGTGTTGTCATAACTGGAAAGAAAGAAGCGTTGGAGGGAAGCTGAGGCGACAGTTAGGTGGTGGAAGGAATTCTTCCTGCAATGTAAAGGGATTTTATGGTTCAGTGGATTGAAAGGTAGATTAAAAATATTTTTAAATGCCAGAGGCTTATTTGAATTAACTGTTGACAATAGGGAGGGAGAGGTAGAAGATGGAGAAGAACTTGGGTGTGGCAGATGAATAAGGTCCACAATTGAACACAGGCATGGGGATCAGAATTCAAATGCACAGAAGGGAGGCAGGAAGGGAGGGCTGTGGATGAGAGCACATTTTAGAGCTTCATCTCTAAGGGCCTTTGCAACTGCTGTCCCCTCTGCTCAAATGCTTTCCCCACATAGTCTCATGGTTTTCCTGTAGATCACAACATGATGGTCTTTTTTTTTTTTTTTTCTTTTTCAATTTCAGGCCTCAGCTCGAAGGTCTCCTGCTCACAGAATCTTTCCCTGACCATTCACCTGTCACCCAGACCTGTTCCAATCTGGGTCTAGCCCTGTCCCAGAATGGCCCGGGACCTCCAGGCTCTTGACTCACATAGGAAAGAATTCAAGAACAAGTCATGGTGGGAGATAAGGGCTGCGAAGAGCCTTCTGGCTCTAAGGAAACAAGAAGAACCAGAAGATTTGCCAAATGACTACCCCTCAAGCACCAGTGAAGATGAGGGGGAAGGTGGTGGAGAGCGAAAGCATCAAAAGCTTCTGGAAGCAATCAGTTCCCTTGATGGAAAGAATAGGCGGAAATTGGCTGAGAGATCTGAGGCAAGTCTAAAGGTGTCAGAGTTCACAGTTAGTTCTAAAGGATCAGGAGAAAGGCTGGTCCTTTCAGATCTGCTTGAATCCGTTAAAACTTCATCCTCATTGGCCACTGTGAAAAAGCAACTGAATAGAGTCAAATCAAAGAAGACTGTGGAGCTACCCCTTAACAAAGAAGAGGTTGAACGGATCCACAGAGAAATGGCATTCAATAAAACCTCACAGACGCTCTCCAAATGGGATCCCATCGTTCAGAAGAACCAACAAGCAGAGCAGCTGGTTTTCCCCCTGGTAAAGGAGCTGTCGGCCTTTGCTCCCATTGAGCATGTGCTCAACGGCTGGAAGGCAAAAACACCCCTGGAGCATGAGATTTTTAATCTCCTTTGTAAGAACAAGCAGCCAGTGACAGACCCTTTATTGACTCCTGTGGGAAAGGCCTCTCTCAAAGCCATGAGCCTAGAAGTGGCTAAGATGCGCCGAGCAGAGCTTCAGAGGGCCAGGGCCCTGCAGTCTTACTATGAGGCCAGGGCTCGAAGAGAGAAGAAAATCAAAACCAAAAAGTATCACGGAGTTCTGAAGAAAGGGAAGGCCAAGAAAGCCCTAAAAGCGTTTGAGAAGCTGTGGAAGACCAATCCCGCTGTTGCATTGGAAGAACTGGAAGAACTCGAAAAGGCCAGAATGATGGAGCGAATGAGCCTTAAGCACCAGAACAGTGGAAAATGGGCAAAGTCAAAGGCAATTATGGCCAAATATGATCTGGAGGCTCGCCAGGCTATGCAGGATCAGTTGTCCAGAAACAAAGAACTGACGCAGAAAGTCCAGGTGGCCTCCAAGAGTGAGGAAGAGGAGGGAGGTGAGGAAGAAGAGGGTAATCTCCTTGTCTCTGATGCAGTGAATGAGGCACACATGACTGCAGATGGACCGAATCCCTGGATGGTCAGGAATCACTCCGATGACGCAAAAGAGGCTGAAATCCAGAAGGACTCTGAACAACTTCCAGAGCCCATGGCCAACGAGGCTTCTGAAAGTGAGGAAGAAGGAAGACCGGTGGTAGAGGAAGAAATTTTGTTGAAAGAATTTAAGGAAAGACGATCGCTTAGGAAAAAGTCGGGGCTCAACCAGGACACCAGGCCAGTGGGCAGACAAGAAACAAAAGATTCTAGCACCCAGGAGGTGCTGTCTGAACTGAGGGCACTGCCTCAGAAACTCAAGAAAGACAACCATCAGTGCAGGAAGCAAAACATGGGTTCAGTGAGGACTGTCCAGAGAGAGGGACCTGCTGAGGAAGAAGAGGAGTCCCTGTTGCTACAGAGGCCAGAGGGAGCACAGACTCTGGAGGAGCTAAAGGAACTGAGCAAAGGATGCTTTCAAAATGAGGAGCTTCCTAGACCTGCATTAGAAGGGCAGCAATTGGAGAGGAATAATCAGCCTAGTGCTCCCAAGAAGAAAACAAAGGAGCAAATGATTGACCTACAGAACATCCTAATCACAAAATCTCCTTCCGCGAAGTCTTTGGCTGTCCCCACGATAGAGGAGTTGGAAGATGAACAAGAGAGAGAGCAAAAGCAAATGATAAAGGAAGCTTTTGCTGGTGATGATGTCATCAGAGATTTCTTGAAAGAGAAGAGAGAAACTGTGGAGGCGAGTAAGCCAAAGGACATGGACCTGACTCTACCTGGCTGGGGCGAGTGGGGCGGTGGGGGCCTGAAGCCCAGTGCCAAGAAGAGACGCCGGTTTCTCATTAAAGCACCTGAAGGTCCTCCAAGAAAAGACAAGAATTTACCAAATGTGATTATCAGTGAGAAGCGAAACATCCATGCAGCAGCTCACCAGGTGCGGGTGCTTCCATATCCATTTACCCACCATCGACAATTTGAGAGGACCATCCAGACCCCTATAGGAGCTACATGGAACACCCAGAGAGCCTCCCAAAAGCTGACTACACCCAAGGTTGTCACCAAGCCAGGACATATCATTAAGCCTATAAAAGCAGAGGATGTAGGCTACCGGTCTTCCTCAAGGTCGGACCTCTCTGTCGTGCAGAGGAATCCAAAACGACTCCATCACAAAAAACAGCTGAAGAAAACCTAAAGATTGAGTTGCTGGAGGAGTGACATCTTGGTGCCCAGAAGCAGGACCACACAGTGTTCCTCCATTGGCCGGGTTTTACTACAAGCTACAGGATCAATTTCAAAATTTGTTAGCACACATTTTAGGAATAAAGGCATTTTTATCTATTAAAAAAAAAAAAAAAAGAATGAGTCATAATGAGAGTGAAAGCCAATTTTATTCAGGTAGAGAAAAAAAGTTAGGATGGGGTTCCTGGAGACAGGATCAGGGGTTGAGCTGCCCGCTGCCTCTTTGGTTGCAAGTCTCTCAGGGTGTTATTGTGAAAGAAACAAAAGTACATGTCCAGGTGGAATGGATGAACTTGAGAGTGAGTTGTGTGCTGGGTCAGTCAGTTCTTGGGATTTTATATGTTTCCAAGGGGGAGTTGTTTCTGAACTTTGTGGCACTGAATTCTGACTTGGCCTTCTGTTTGAGTGTGTGTGTGTCTTGTTCCTAATATGGTCTGTCCTAAAAGCATCATGGTGTTCTTCCTCCTCTCCCCACCCTACTACCGTGTTTCCCCGAAAATAAGACATCCTCCAAAAATAAGACCTAGCGCATGGAAAGATAAGACATCCCCTGAAAATAAGACCTAGCACAACTTTGGGAGAAAAAATTAATATAAGACACTGTCTTATTTTCGGGGAAACAGGGTACTTGTAGTGTCAGTTTTCAATATGATGATGGTATAATGAACTGTGAGGTCAGTCTCTTACAAATTTTTTCTTCATCTTGGATGGATCTGGGTTTAGCTAGTCCTTGTTGCTGTTGACTTCATGACCCTGCAGGGGATTCCTGCCTGACTGTTTCCCTATGATCATACGTGGAAGTGAGGATCCTGGTGAATGGACCTAGTGACGTATCATCCTATGATGTCGACTCCTACTTCCTCATTCCACTTGTCAGGAATTTCTTTTTTCCATCCTGCCATACACTTTAAAACAGTCCTCAATCCTTATCTGAAATTACTTTATTTGCTTATCTGTGGGTTTTTTTTGTTTGTTTGTTTGTTTTGTTTTTTTGTTTGTTTTGCTGGGACCTATATGAAAGCTGGGACCTTTGCATGTTTGTTCATGGTTGTATTTCCATTACCTGGTATATGTTTGTTGAATGAATGAACAGCATGCAGGAAGCCTGGTAGAGAATAAGCACTCAATGTTGAATGCAAAAACAAGCAATCATTGCACTCCCATGTGTATACCCAAGAGAACTGTGCAGAAATGTCTATAACAGCAATACTCATAGTAGACAAGAGGTGCAAACGACCTAAATGTCAAAATGTGGTATATGCATATAATGGGATATTATTCAGGCATGAGGGCAATGAAATACTGATACCGATCACAACATGGCTTAGTCTTGAAAATGTTATAAGTAAAAGAATCCAGACACAAAACCCACATGTCCTATGATATCATTTATATGAAATTTCCAGGATATATAAATTCATAGAGACAGAAAGCAAGGGCTAAAGGAAGGGACATGGGGAATAATTGCTTAGTGAATACAAATTTCTTTTTAGGATGACAAAATGTTCTGGAATTATCCCTAGCTGGGTGGCTCCATTAGTCGGAACATTTTCCTGAATACCAGAAGATTGCAGGTTCAATTCCTAATCAGGGCACGTACCTAAGTTGCAGGTTCCATCCCTGGTCAGGGCGTGTATTGGAGGCATCCAGTCGATATTCTCTCTCTCTCTCTCTCTCTCTCTCTCTCTCTCTCTCTCTCTCCCTCCCTCCCTCCCTCCCTCCCTCCCTCCCTCCCTCCCTCTCTCTCTCCAATCACTAAAACATATCCTTTAGGGTTAAAAAAAAAAAAAAAGGAACAAAAATGTTCTGGAATTAGTGGTGATAGTTGTGTCACACTTTAAAGTGGATAAAATGGTGAATTTTATGTTATATACATTTTACCTCTTTAAAAGGAGATAGACTGGATTAGCATATGAAGTATAGCTGGACACTAAAGCACACAGGGCTAATACTTCAAACTCATCTGCAGACAAATCAAAGAACCATATAAATCAACCCTGAGGCATGAATTTACCAAATAGATTTATTGTTCAGAGTTAACAATTCACTACTCAGGATTCTTGAAGGATTCCTTCAGATTGTGAGCACTTGTCTCTTTTGCATAAAAACAACTTGATTCCTACATAGACCTCTGGAGAAATACTTTTACATGAAAGAAGAACTGCTGTGGGTAATTGCAAATGCTATTACTTAATGTAAAAAAGCTCATTTAATGGCCAGAAACCATCTCCTCATCTCTCTACCCTTAACCCACAGCTCAGAACAGCCTGCACTTCCAAGGAATTGTTCTCCCATGGTTTTGGGGAAAGGGGGTCCCTGAGGGGATGAAAAGGCCACTGGTAGCTGTGATGTGAGCTCAGTATACTCTTGGGGCAGATCCTGGGCCAGGTGCCTCCCCAGAGCCCTGAGCTGCAGGAGTGATTTCCAGCTGTGAATAAACCTCTAGTGGCAGCTACTGAAATCAACCTGCTCTCTCCAGAGGCAAGAGAGTGCCCGCTGTGTGAATGAGCATGACTCCTTTCAAGGCACTACAGGTTGCAGCTGTTCCAACAAAACGGCACATCCCCAGCAACATTGAACCTCTTACAGGTCTGGTTTGGTCAAATATGCTCGTTAAAAATCTCTAAGCAAACTTTCTTTATGGGTCATCTTCTATGTGGGCTGAACCACGGACACTGGTTGCCCTGTGCTGACAGCTATAAGCCTCCATTTCCACTGGACACTGGGAAGAAGCCCTAAAGGCAGGATCCGGTTTATGTGAAAGGAGTTTGGATGTGAGGCTCCTTTGACTCTTGCCAAAGGAAAGACTGCATGTGAATGGTGATACTTGAATTGGAATTAAGGTCAACGGGCATTATTTCTCCCTTGCTATTGGAAAATGGTTCTCAAACTTTTGCCCAAACAACTCAGTGTCATATCATTTTGTCCAAGGAGGCTGCTCCTACTGCTGATCACCTCTTATCCAGACAGATAATCACCTCCTGCACTGGGATCACACTTCTATTTTGGCACTTCTTGTGGTGAGGTCATTCATTCAGCAAGTACTTATTGTCCTGCTTTGAGTTATGCACAGTTATAGGTGCCAGGGATAAGGTAGTGAGTATAAAAGGCAAAGTGTTGGGTGCTTACGGGAGACAACAAATAAATATATATGATAGATAAATATAAATTGTTTATAAAGGAAAAGTTGGGTAAAGGACATAGGGAGTACAGTAGGTAGATGGAGATGCCATTGGGTAAATGGAGACCTGAGAACTGACAGTGGAGTTTTGCAATGTGGAGGTCATTCTTCTTCCAGCAGAAGGGTGGGACTTGAAACCTGATTAGAGTGACTTGAGGAGAGATTAGGGAAGGGCTCTGATTAGATGGCATTTGAACAGATGGAACAAACCATGCAGAGTCATTGGACTAAGGTAATAAATTATTTTCACAGGACCATTCTGGCTGCTGGGGATTGAACAGAATGATGGGGGTAGAACAGAATGAAAAGGAGCATGGAAGAGCAGACCAGTTAGGACCTATAGCTGGAATCCAAGTGGAGATAATAGTGGCTCTGACTAGGTTGGATGGTCAGATACAGGAAACAATTTGAAGGTGGAATTCACAAGATTGGCTGATATGTGGGAGAAAGAGGAGCCAAAGATGATTCCAAGTTTGGATGCCTGGGGGAAAAATGGAGTTATCTCTTTTCCAAAATGGGCAAAAAATGTGGAATGGGAGTTTCAAAGAGAGAAGCCAGGAGTTTGGAGGGACTGGCCTGCATGCTGCAGGAAGTTGAGTATCCCTGGCCTCTTTCTACTAAAGGCAAGCAGCTCTCTCCAGTTATTATGTCAACCCACAGCCACCCTCACACATTTTCAAATACTCCTTGTACTGGTGGTGCTGCCCATGGTTGAGACCAACTGTAACCAATGAAGTGGGTGTCAGCATCTAGATTTGACTGTGGTTGGCTGATGCCAGAAGCAGCAGAAATCTAGCATCAAGAGCAGAATGAGAACTGACAAATTCTGTAGAGATGAGGACTCCTTTCTCTCTAGGGAGTGAGGTTTAAGTCTAGGAAGTTATGTTATAGAGGTTGAACTGGGCTCCAATCTAGAGAGACAAAGCAGGGTCAAATCAGAAATAGTCACCTAATGAGCCGAAACCGGTTTGGCTCAGTGGATAGAGCGTCGGCTTGGGGACTGAAGGGTCCCGGGTTCGATTCCAGTCAAGGGCATGTACCCAGTGGGGGCGGGGGGTGCAAAAGGCAGCTGATCAATGACTCTCTCGATGTTTCCGGCTCTCTATCTCTCTCCCTTCCTCTCTGTACAAAATCAATAAAATATATATTTTTAAAAAAGAAATAGTCACCTAATGAAAGATATCATGCTATACATATTAGAATGTTTTGAGACCTCTTCCTTTCCTATATCCTCTTCCTTAGGAAATCTCACTTGCCGCTCTTGTGAGAAGCATCCCTCTAAGCATGATAGCCCTCACCCACACCTGATTAAACCCAATATAAACACCTGAAATAAGACAATTCATTGGCTGATTGGTGACCTTTCATTTTTTTTCTGTTGAGCACCTGAATAATAGGCTAGCAACTGGTGGTGGGTATTGAGCTGAAAGAATCTATAGACTTGAGATGAAGAGTGCAACATGACAAAGGGAAAGCCACACACATGAAAGTCCACATTTTGGGAGAGTAGAGAAACCAGGATCCAGGAAAGGAAGCCAGCTGTGAAACGGGAGCACGACTCAGCCCTGCAGAAAGCAGAGGAGCAAGAGCATGTGGCTCCAGGGAGACGGGGAGGGACAGACAGAGAGACGATAGTTTACCACTTTTGGGTTCCACGAGACTGCCTATTGACTTTCAATTGGTCTTTTTCTTATTTTGTGTAGTTTGAGTGGTTTCTGACCCATGCAACCAATGATATACATTGCCTTTAGCTATATGTTAGAGCTGCGATC